CCCGGGACCCCCCCTTAGGGACCCCCAAGACCCCCCCCCAGGGAGCCCCCCTTATGAACCCCCAAGACCCCTGCCCCAGGGACCCCGCTTTAGTGATCCCCAAGACACCCCCCCCCCCCCAGGGACCCCCAAGACCCCCCCCAGGGACCCCCCCATAGGGATCCCCATAGACCCCCCACAGGGACCTCCCTTTAGGAATCCCCATAGACCCCCCCCACCCCAGGGACCCCCCCATAGGGACCCCCCCCCCGGGACCCCCCCTTAGCGACCCCCAAGACCCCCCCAGAGAACCCCCCTTAGGGACCCCCAAGACCCGTTGAGACCCCCTCCCAGGGACCCCCCTTTGGGAGCAGACCCCGAGGCCCCCCAGGGACCCCCAAAACCCCCCTTCGGGACCCCCAAGGCCCATTGAGACACCCCCCAACCCCATTTGGGACCCCCACATGCACCCTAGAGCCCCCAAATCCCCCTTTGAGACCCCAAAACCCCGTTTGAGACCCCCCAAGTTCCCTCTCGAGACCCTCAAGGACACCCCAAACCCCACTTCGGGACCCCCAAATCTCTCCTAGGGATCCTCCCTAGAGACCCCCTTTGGGACCCCCCCCCAACCCCTCTTTGGAGCACCCCAGGGACCCACAACCCCCCCTAAAGACCCCTCAAACCCCGTTCAGGACCTCCAGACACCCCCAGGCATCCCAAAACCTTTCTGGACCCCCCAGGCCTCCCTTGGGACCCCCCCAAGAGACCCTCAGATGCACTTTGGGATCCCCAAAACCTCTCTGGAGCCTTTCAGGGACCCCCAAGCTCCCCTGCAGAGCACCCCAGGAACCCCCAACTCCCCCTCCAAGCCTCCCCTAGGCACCCCCTTTTAGGAACCCCCTTTTGGGACCCCACCTTTTGAAGACCCCCCCTTTTGGGACCCCCCGAGACACCCCCCTCTCCTTTTGAAACCCCCCTTTTTGGGACCCCCCCCTTTTTGGGGCCTCCCCTTTTGGACCCCCCATCCCCCTTTTGACCTCTCCTTTTCGGACCCTTCCTTTTGGAACACCCCCCTTTTGGGACCCTCCCTTTTTGGGACACCCCCTTTTGGGACCCCTCCCTCTTTTGGGACCCTCCCTTTTTGGGACACCCCCCCCCTTTCGGGACCCCCCCCTTTTTGGGACCCCCCTTTTCGGATCCCTCCTTTGGGAAACCCCCCTTTTTGGAGCCCCCCTTTTGGAGCCCCCCCCTTTTTGGGACCCCTCCTCTTGGAACCCCCCCCTTTTGGAACCCTCCTTTTGCCCCCCCCGCTTTTGGGAACCCCATTTTTGGGACACCCCCCCCCTTTTGGGACCCCTCCTTTTGGAGCCCCCCCCCCCTTTCGGACCCCCCCCTTTTGGGGTCCCCCCCCTTTTGGGGTCCCCCCCTTTTCGGATCCCCCCCTTTTGGGACCCCTCCTTTTCGGACCCCCCCGTTTTGGGGTCCCCCCCTTTTCGCCCCCCCCCCGCTTTTGGGAACCTCATTTTTGGGACACCCCCCATTTTGGAGCCCCCCCCCCCCCCTTTTGGGCCCCCCACTTTTGGGTCCCCCCCCCCTTTTGGGTCCCCCCTTTCGGACCCCCCCTTTCGGACCCCCCCTTTTGGGTCCCCCCTTTTGGACCCCCCCTTTTGGGGTCCCCCCTTTCGGAGCCTCCCCCTTTTCGGAACCCCCCCTTTGGGACCCCCCCCTTTGGAACCCCCCCCTTTTGGGACCCCCCCTTTTCGGACCTCCCCCTTTTGGGTCCCCCCCTTTTGGGCCCCCCTCCTTTTGGGACCCCCCCTTTTCGACCCCCCCCCATTTCGGACCCCCCCTTTTCGGACCCCCCCCTTTTTTGGGGTCCCCCCCTTTTCGGACCCCCTCTTTTGGACCCCCCTTTTGCCCCCCCCCCCCCCCCTTTCGGTCCCCCCTTTTCGTACCCCCCCTTTTTGGGACCCCTCCTTTCGGACCCCTCCCCCTTTCGGACCCCCCCTTTTTGGGGTCCCCCCTTTCCGCCCCCCCCTCACGTGCAGGCTGTGTCCCTGGTTCGCTCGGATCCGGAGCGGCTCCGGGCTCAGCCGGAATCGCCCCTTGGGGTCCGCGGCCACCACGTTCCGCACCTCCCGCTCCGACACCCCCCGGAAGCGGGGCAGGCGCAGCAGCGCCCCCAGCGGCACGAACCCGTCTGTGCACCCCCCCCCCCCAGCGTCAGCGCCAGGGGGTCCCAGGGGGCACTGGGGGGGTGCCAGAGGTGATGGGAGGGTCCCAAGGGGGCACGTGGGGGGGGGTCCCAGAGGTGATGGGAGGTTTCTATGGGGCACTTGGGGGGATCCCAGAGGTGATGGGAGGTTTCTATGGGGCACTTGGGGGATCCCAGAGGTGATGGGAGGTTTCTATGGGGCACCTGGGGGGGCCCAGAGCTGATGGGAGGGACCCAAGGGGGCACTTGGGGGGGGTCCCAGAGGTGATGGGAGGTTTCTATGGGGCACCTGGGGGGTGCCAGAGGTGATGGGAGGGACCCAAGGGCGCACTTGGGGGGGGGCGACGACTTAGGGGGGGTCCCAGAGGTGATGGGAGGTTTCTATGGGGCACTTGGGGGGATCCCAGAGGTGATGGGAGGTTTCTATGGGGCACTTGGGGGGTGCCAGAGGTGATGGGAGGTTTCTATGGGGCACTTGGGGGGTGCCAGAGGTGATGGGAGGTTTCTATGGGGCACTTGGGGGGATCCCAGAGGTGATGGGAGGTTTCTATGGGGCACTTGGGGGGTGCCAGAGGTGATGGGAGGTTTCTATGGGGCACTTGGGGGGTGCCAGAGGTGATGGGAGGTTTCTATGGGGCACTTGGGGGGATCCCAGAGGTGATGGGAGGTTTCTATGGGGCACTTGGGGGGTGCCAGAGGTGATGGGAGGTTCCTATGGGGCACTTGGGGGGTCCCAGAGGTGATGGGAGGTTTCTATGGGGCACTTGGGGGGATCCCAGAGGTGATGGGAGGTTTCTATGGGGCACTTGGGGGATCCCAGAGGTGATGGGAGGTTTCTATGGGGCACTTGGGGGGATCCCAGAGGTGATGAGAGGGCACCTGGGGGGGTCCCAGGGGGGCACTTGGGAGGAGAGGGTGGCACTTAGGGGGATCCCAGACTTGATGGGAGGTTTCTATGGGGCACCTGGGGGGTGCCAGAGGTGATGGGAGGGACCCAAGGGGGCACTTGGGGGATCCCAGACTTGATGGGAGGTTTCTATGGGGCACTTGGGGGATCCCAGAGGTGATGGGAGGTTTCTATGGGGCACTTGGGGGGATCCCAGAGGTGATGGGAGGTTTCTATGGGGCACTTGGGGGGTGCCAGAGGTGATGGGAGGTTTCTATGGGGCACTTGGGGGGTGCCAGAGGTGATGGGAGGTTTCTATGGGGCACTTGGGGGGCAGCAGGTGATGGGGGGATGGGAGGGGGCACTTGGGGGATCCCAGAGGTGATGGGAGGTGAGGTGATGGGAGGTTTCTATGGGGCACCTGGGGGGTGCCAGAGGTGATGGGAGGTTTCTATGGGGCCCTTGGGGGGTGCCAGACGTGATGGGAGGTTTCTATGGGGCACTTGGGGGATCCCAGAGGTGATGGGAGGTTTCTATGGGGCACTTGGGGGGTGCCAGAGGTGATGGGAGGTTTCTATGGGGCACTTGGGGGGTCCCAGAGGTGATGGGAGGTTTCTATGGGGCACTTGGGGGGTGCCAGAGGTGATGGGAGGTTTCTATGGGGCACTTGGGGGGATCCCAGAGGTGATGGGAGGTTTCTATGGGGCACTTGGGGGGATCCCAGAGGTGATGGGAGGTTTCTATGGGGCACTTGGGGGGATCCCAGAGGTGATGGGCACTTGGGGGGTCCCAGAGGTGGGGAGGTTTCTTGGGGGGGGGGCTTTGGGGGGGGGGCTTTGGGGTCTGCGGGGAGGCACTTGGGGGGCGTCCATAGGTGATGAGAGGTCCCATGGGGGGGGGGGGGTGTCCTGGGGGAGGTTTTTGGGGGGCAGGATGAGGGGGATGAGAGGTTTCTATGGGGAGGGGGCCCTTGGGGGGGGGGTCCCGCACGCACCCGGCCCCATAGGCAGCCCCTCGGCCGCAGCCCCGTGCCGCAGGACGTAGCTCAGCGCCTTCGAGAGCCGCACGGATGGGTCCTGAGGGGGGGGCGGTGCTGGGTGTTCCCCCCACACATCTGGGTCCCCCCTTTGTGCCCCCCCCTTCCCCCCCATTTCAAGGTGGACTCCTCCGGTCCGTCCCTCCCCCCCCCCAAATCTGGGTCCCCCATTGGGGTCCCCCCTCCCGCCCGTTCCCCTCCCCTTTGTGCCCCCCCCTCCCCCATTTCAAGGTGGACTCCTCCTGTCCCGTCCCCCCCCCCCTCCCCCCCATGTCCAGGTGGACTAATCCGGTGTCGTCGCCCCCCCCCCCCCAAATCTGGGTCCCCCATTGGGGTCGTCGTCCCCCCCCCCCCCCCCTTTCAAGGTGGACTCCTCCTGTCCCGTCCCGTCCCCCCCCCATCTGGTTCCCCCCTTTGTGCCCCCCTCCCCCCATTTCAAGGTGGACTCCTCCGGTGTCGTCCCGTCCCCCGCCCCCAAATCTGGGTCCCCCATTGGGGTCCCCCCCCCCCTCTCCCCCATTTCAAGGTGGGCTCCTCCGGTCCCATCCCCCCCCCCATCTGGGTCCCCCCTTTGTGCCCCCCCCCCCCCCAATTCAAGGTGGACTTCTCCGGTCCGTCCCCCCCCCCCCCCCCCCCCCCAAAATCTGGGTCCCCCATTGGGGTCTGTGTCCCCCCCCCATTTCAAGGTGGATTCCTCCGGTCCCCCCCCCCCCCCCCCCCCCAGTTCCCCGCCCCCCCCCACCTCCTCCCGCCTCCTCCTGCGCTGCCCTCCCCTGTCCTCCGCCATGCGCCACCACGTGACCGCGCACACACACACGTGACCTCACACACACACAGCCACGTGACCGCTCCCGCCGCACGTGCTTTATTCCCGCGCTCAGTCCTGTTTGCGCGCCCCCAGCTTGAGGGGGCGGGGCCGGGGCCCCCCCCGGGGCTTCCCCTCGGCCTCGCGGCGCCGCCGCCGGTCCGGGTCCGGGGGGGGCCCTGTTGGGGGGGGGGGGTCACAGTGAGGCCAATGGGGGGCATCGGGGGGGTCACGTGTGGGGGTACCCCAATGGAAGGGGGGGCATCGGGGGGGGTCACGTGTGGGGGTACCCCAATGGAAGGGGAGGGGGCAGTGATGTCAATGGGGGGGGGGGGTCACGTGTGGGGGTACCCCAATGGAAGGGGGGGGTCACGTGTGGGGGTACCCCAATGGAAGGGGAGGGGGCAGTGATGTCAATGGGGGATCAGGGGGGGTCACGTGTGGGGGTACCCCAATGGCAGGGAGGGGGCAGTGATGTCAATGGGGGACCCAGGGAGGGGGCATGTCAATGGGGGGTGATACCCCAATGGAAGGGGGGGGCACTGATGTCAATGGGGGGCATCGGGTGGGTCACGTGTGGGGGTACCCCAATGGAAGGGGGGGGCACTGATGTCAATGGGGGGCATCGGGGGGGTCACGTGTGGGGGTACCCCAATGGGAGGTGGGGGAAGGGAGGGGGGGAAGTACCCCAATGGAAGCCATGAGGGGCATCAGGGGGGGAACCCCAATGGAAGGGGGGCAGTGATGTCAATGGGGGCATCGGGGGGGGGTCTCCAATGGAAGGGGGGCAGTGATGTCAATGAGGGGCCAGGGGGGGCGGTGGAAGGGGGGCAGGTTCTCGGGGGGGGTCACGTGTGGGGGTCTATGGGGGAGTCATTGGGGTCCCAAGGAAGTGGGGGGGTCCCCCAGGGTATTGGGGTTCGGGGGGGGGGGGGGTCTTACCCCTGTGGCTGGGCAGAGCCTCCCAGGCATCCTCGGTGCCCCACTCCCCCCCCACCCCCCAGTCCCCCTCCTCCCCCCTGCGCAGGGCTGGGGGGGGGCTGTGATGGGGGGGGCTGGGGGGGGGGCCCCGCATCCTTCTCACTGCTGGGGGGGGGGCTCCGCGGCAGCTCCATGTCCTGGGGGGGGGGGGAATGGAACACACACATGAGGGGGAGGGGGGTCACATTGTGCCAAAATGTGACACCACCCCCCCCCCCAAAATCACCTCCAGGCTGCCCCAGTCCTCGTCCCATCCATCAACATCTTCTTGGGGGGGCTCCTCGGGGGGCAGCTCTGGCGAGGGGACACAAAAGGGGGGGGCTCAGGCATTTACACCCCCCCAACCCCCCCCCCCACATAGGGGGGTTTGGGGGTCCGCAGGGGGTGGTGCTTTGGGGCTCTCTCACCTTTTGGGGGGCTGGGAGAGGCCTCGAGGGGGGGCTGCTGGGGGGGGCCCTGTGGGGGGGCCCCGGGCTCGCCCCCCATCAGTCGCGCTGTCAGGGAGGTGACAGCCCAGGACACGGCGGCCCCCAACCCCCCCGGGGCCCCCAGCGCTGCCCCCCCCGGCGCTGCGGCTGCGGTGGGGGCATCTGGGGGGGGGGGGGGAGAGAGAAAGGGGTCAATTGGGGGCACCCCCAAAGCAGCCCCAGGTCCTGACCCCCCCCCCCCCCATTGTCTCACCCCCCTCCTGGGCCCCCCCGGATTCCGAGGCTGCCTCCAGGTGGTCCAGGAAGCTGCGGATGGCCCGAAATGCCTGGGGGGGACGGGGGGGACACAGTGAGGGACCCCCAGAACAGCCTTTGTGTGAGCACCCAGCACCCACTGCAATGGCACCCCAGCACCCAGACCCCCAGCACCCACTGCAACGGGACCCCAGCACCCACTGCAATGGGACCCCAGCACCCAGACCCCCAGCACCCACTGCAATGGGACCTCAGCACCCAGACCCCCAGCACCCACTGCAACGGCACCCCAGCACCCACTGCAATGGGACCCCAGCACCCAGACCCCCACCACCAACTGCAACGGGACCCCAGCACCCACTGCAACGGGACCCCAGCACCCAGACCCCCAGCACCCACTGCAACGGGACCCCAGCACCCAGACCCCCAGCCCCCATTGCAATGGAACCCCCAGCACCCATTGCTATGGGTCCCCAGCACCCAGACCCCCCGCACCCATTGCAATGGAACCCCCAGCACCCATTGCTATGGGCCCCCAGCACAGAAAACCTCAGCACCCATTGCAACGGAACCCCAGCACCCAGACCCTCAACACTCAATGCGATGGGACCTCCAGCACCCAGACCACCAGCACCCACTGCAACAGAACCCCAGCACCCAGACCCTCAATGCGATGGGACCTCCAGCACCCAGACCCCCAGCACCCGTAACTCCAGCACCCATTGCAGTGAGACCCCCAGCACCCATAACTCCAGCACCCATTGCAGTGAGACCCCCAGCACCCATAACTCCAGCACCCATAACTCCAGCACCCATTGCAGTGGGCCACCAGCAAGACCCCCAGCACCCACTGCAATGGGGCCCCCAACATCCAACCCCAGGAGCACCCTGACACCCATTGGGCACCCATTGCAATGGCACCCCCAGCACCCACCCCATGAGCACCCATCGCAATGGGACCCCCCCATGAGCATCCATTGCAATGGGACCCTCAGCACCCACCCCATGAGCACTCATCGCAATGGGAACCTCAGCACCCACCCCATGAGCACCCATCGCAATGGGACCCTCAGCACCCACCCCATGAGCACCCATCCCATGAGCACCCATTGCAATGGGACCCCCAGCACCCACCCCATGAGCACCCATCGCAATGGGACCCCCAGCACCCACCCCATGAGCACCCATTGCAATGGGACCCTCAGCACCCACCCCATGAGCACCCATCGCAATGGGACCCCCCCCCATGAGCACCCATCCCATTGGGCACCCATTGTAATGAGACCCTCAGCACCCACCCAATGAGCACCCATCGCAATGGGACCCCCAGCACCCACCCCATGAGCACCCATTGCAATGGGACCCTCAGCACCCACCCAATGAGTACCATTGCAATCGCCATGAGCACCCATCGGACCCCCACCCCATGAGCACCCATCCTGCACCCACCCCCACCGCCCCGCCCCGAGCCTGACCTGCGCGCGCACGCCGGGGTGCGGGTCGTTGGTGAGCGCGCACAGCGCCGGCAGCACCCTGCTCGCGCACTCCTGCGCCGAGTAGCACCCATGGGTGGCAGCGAAGGCAGCGACGGCGGCCGCCCGCGCGGGGGGGAACGGGTCCCGCGTGGCCCGTGCCAGGGCTGGGGCCAGCACCCGCTGCCGAGCCTGGGGGGACAGCGGGAGGTGATGGGTGCTGGGGGCAATGGGTGCTGGGGGGTGATGGGTGCTGAGGGGGGCGATGGGTGCTGGGGGGTGATGGGGGCAATGGGTGCTGGGGGGGGTGATGGGTGCTGGGGGCAATGGGTGCTGGGGGGCGTGATGGGTGCTGGGGGGCGTGATGGGTGCTGGGGGCAATGGGTGCTGGGGGGGGTGATGGGTGCTGTGGGGGGTGATGGGTGCTGGGGGTGATGGGTGCTGGGGGCAATGGGTGCTGGGGGGTGATGGGGGCAATGGGTGCTGGGGGGTGATGGGGGCAATGGGTGCTGGGAGGGGGGGTGATGTGTCCTGGGGGCAATGGGTGCTGGGAGGGGGGGTGATGGGTGCTGGGGGCAATGGGTGCTGGGGGGTGCTGGGTGCTGGGGGGGGTGATGGGGCTGGGGGATGGGTGCTGGGGGATGGGTGCTGGGGGATGGGTGCTGGGGGATGGGTGCTGGGGGGGGGGTGATGGGTGCTGGGGGCAATGGGTGCTGGGGGGTGATGGGTGCTGGGGGGGGTGATGGGTGCTGGGGGCAATGGGTGCTGGGGGGGGTGATGGGTGCTGGGGGCAATGGGTGCTGGGGGGGAGGTGATGGGTGCTGGGGGCAATGGGTGCTCATGGGGTGGGTGCTGGGGGCAATGGGTGCTGGGGGGTGATGGGTGCTGGGGGGGGTGATGGGTGCTGGGGGCAATGGGTGCTGGGGGGTGATGGGTGCTGGGGGCAATGGGTGCTGGGGGGGGTGATGGGTGCTCGGGGCAATGGGTGCTGGGGGGTGATGGGTGCAATGGGTGCTGGGGGGGGTGATGGGTGCTGGGGGGGGTGATGGGTGCTGGGGGGGTTTGATGGGTGCTGGGAGGGGGGGTGATGTGTGCCGGGGGCAATGGGTGCTGGGGGGTGATGGGTGCTGGGGGCAATG